TAAGCGCCCACCTCACTGACAACAACCTCCTCGACCCTCTACAGTCTGGCTTCCGTCCCCTACACTCCACCGAAACCGCCCTACTTAAAATCACCAACGACCTGCTAACCGCCAAAGCTAATGGCCATTTCTCTGTCCTCCTGCTCCTTGACCTCTCTGCAGCCTTCGACACTGTCGACCACCCTCTCCTCCTTACTAAACTGCACTCCCTTGGCATCAGGGATGCTGCTCTCTCCTGGTTCTCCTCCTACCTTTCCCAAGCTCCTTCAGCATCACCTATAACACTGCCACCTCACCTTCCCTCCCCCTTTCTGTCGGAGTCCCCCAAGGCTCTGTCCTCGGACCCCTCCTCTTCTCCATCTACACCTCCTCCCTTGGCAAACTAATACACTCCCATGGCTTCAATTACCACCTCTGTGCCGACAACACAAAAATTTACCTCTCCACCCCCCACCTCACCCCCTCACTCTCTGCCCGCATCGCCCACCTCCTGAACGACATATCAGACTGGATGTCACTCCACTTCCTTAAATTAAACCTGTCCAAAACCGAGCTCCTTGTCTCCCCCCCCCCCGCGCCCCCCCCCATCCTCTCCATCACTACTAACAACGCCACCATCACTCCCACCCCACATGCCAAAGTCCTGAGTGTCACCCTGGACTCACCCACTCCTTCTTACCTTATGTCCAATTACTATCAAGATCATGCAGGCTCCACCTCCGCAACATCTCCAAGATACGTACATTCCTCACCCCAGACACTACTAAACAACTCGTACAATCCCTCATCATCTCACGCCTGGACTACTGCAACTCCCTTCTCACTGGCCTACCCAAACGAACGCTATCCCCACTCCAGTCGATCCTGAACTCAGCGGCGAGACTCATCCACCTCGCCAACCGCTCCACATCCGCCACCCCCCTCTGCCAATCCCTTCACTGGCTCCCGATTGCCCAACGCATCAAATTCAAACTGCTAACTCTGACCTACAAAGCCATCCACAATGCCGCCTCAAACTACCTAACCGACCTGATACCCAAATACTACCCTACCCATGCCCTTCGCTCCTCACAGGATCTCCTACTCTCTAGCTCCCTGGTCTCCTCCTCCTACGCCCGATTGCAGGATTTTTCCAGGACTTCCCCCATCCTCTGGAACTCCCTACCCCAATCCATCAGACTGTTTCCTACCCTCCTCACCTTCAGGCGCACCCTGAAAACCCACCTCTTCAGGGAAGCCTACCCCACCCTCACCTAACAGCTGACCTCCTCCACTCCTCCCACCACTCCATCCCCCACAGCCACTTCCTCCTGTACCACTATCCCCTCCCTCCTAGATTGTAAGCTCGAAAGAGCAGGGCCCTCGAACCCCTCGTGTAGTGTATTGTTACTGTCTTGTCTCATGTTCTGTCCCCCTTGCTATTGTACAGCGCCGAGCAAACCCTTTGGCGCTATATAAATAATGTATAATAATAATAATAATAATATCAATGTGCTCACCTCCAACTGGTGACCTGCAAACAATCAGGTCAATATGCGCCTTCCACACCTGGGGATCAATCCAGCCTCTACTCCTGGCAATGCTGAAGATGGTATTCTTCCACAATACCCTGTCAATTTTGATGTATGGAACGTTAGGAAAAAAAAGTGTGTGGCACCTTAAGAACTCCTACATGCACCTCCTTAAGCTTTGCACTCAATCTCCTAATACATGGGGAGCCCTCATAGTGTAGTATTTACAGATTTCTCTTTTATTATCCAGTTAAAGACCGCTGTGTAGCAGATGTACTGCTACAGGGTGCCTGCTCTGTGCAAAATCATGTATATATACATGATTTTGCACTTCCTGGGTGACGGGGCGCATGCTTGGTTGCTCCCCGGACTTAATGCACAATGCAAAAGTTGCTAGCCAACTGGTACCAAAGGAGTACCTGTGGTCCTTGGGAAGAGTCTGGCCTTGACTGATGTTTCAGCAGAGAAGTATCCAGTAGCAAATCCAGCAGCAGGCTCAGGTCAAAGATGAGAGCAGACAGTAATGTATCCGTGGACAGGCAGAGATGAGGGTAGGTGGCAGACAGAAAGCATAATCCAGGCACAGGCAAAGGTCAGGGTGGGCAGCAAACTAAAGAGTAATCCAGGCACAGGCAAAGGTCAGGGCAGGCAGCAAACTAAAGAGTAATCCAGGCACAGGCAAAGGTCAGGGCGGGCAGCAAACTAAAGAGTAATTCAGAAACAGGCAAAGGTCAGGGCGGGTGAGAGATGGGGAAACAGCTTTCATTGTTTGAACACTGATTGAAGTAAATTAAAAATGTTCTGACTGACATTCTGCAGTTTAGCCACAAGATGTCACTGTTTTTTCTAACACAGCCTTAGACTGCATAGAGATTTCTATATTCATGAAGGGGTGGGGTTTTTACACTTGGAGAGTGAACAGGAAAAGGACAAGAGAGCAGCCATACTTGAGAGAGAGAAGGGGGGCTGTGTGATCTGAGAATCCGATGTCATCCAGATGTGAGGACAGCCCCCTGTAATCAGAAATTCAGCTGGGTGAAGCTGATGAGATTTCTGCCAGGATTTCTGCCAGGAAGCTGATGAGAACAGAGGAACAACGCAGCATACACTGCAATATCGCAGGCCTGTTGGAGAGACATTTGTTCTGTTCAGAGTCACCAGCGGATGCAAAGCAGAGAGACCCGGGTCGGTAAGATCGTGCACACACCTCATTTCAGTGTTGGCGCTTATAGGACTGAGACAGGCCTATATAGTTAGTTAGGGTCTCTGTTTGTGTAAGGCCACAAGTGTTGTTACTGATCATTGGAAGAACTCCACAACTTAAAGTGACATTTCACATTGGAGAGCTGTTAAAATCCTACAAACTCAAGCCAGACTGGCGTTTTGCTCAGAAGGAATACTCAGGCACGTGCTACAGGACCAGTTATGGAAGGGGGAATACTGTAGATTTGTGTTAGATTGTAAGCTGTTGTGCTGCACCGCAGGCTAGCCCATACCATACACCCATACACGGATTCCTGCTCTGTTAGGGTAATAACAGGTAAGGTGTGGCAGCTTAGTTGTGCCCGCCAGTAGGTAAATTACTACACTTTCTACCTTCATCCATCACAAAGCGCCGTGCTGTGCAGCACAAGGGTCTGAGACCTTTGGGCTGAGTGTATGTAAATTTATTGTATATTCCAGCATTTGTGGTTGTGTTTATTTGCCACATCTAAGTAAAATTCTGTTGTGACAAAGCTGGTGTTGGGGTTGCTTTCCTCGTTCGTCACTTCACTGTATCCTGGGGAGCCCACACCGGTACACGGCTTACACGGGTAGCAAACTAAAGAGTAGTCCAGGAACAGGGAAAAGGTCAGGGCGGGCAGCAAACTAAAGATTAATCCAGGAAAAGGCAAAGGTCAGGGTGGGCAGCAAACTAAAGAGTAATCCAGCAACAGGCAAAGGTCAGGGGCGGGCAGCAAACTAAAGAGTAATCCAGGAACAGGCAAAGGTCAGGACGGGCAGCAAACTAAAGAGTAATCCAGCAACAGGCAAAGGTCAGGGCGGGCAGCAAACTAAAGAGTAATCTAGCAGGCAAAGGTCAGGGCGGGCAGCAAACTAAAGAGTAATCCAGCAACAGGCAAAGGTCGGATGGGCAGCAAACTAAAGAGTAATCCAGCAACAGGCAAAGGTCAGGGCGGGCAGAAAACTAAAGAGTAATCCAGCAACAGGCAAAGGTCAGGGCGGGCAGCAAACTAAAGAGTAATCCAGGAACAGACAAAGGTCAGGGAGGGCAGCAAACTAAAAAGTAATCCAGGAACATGCTGACAGCAAGGCAGGCTTTCTAGGGTCAGAATTGAGATTCAGAGTATTAAGGATGCAAAGACAGTGTAGACAGAACTATTACAAGCTCAGAGCCCTATGATTGTGACATTTAAAGCAGTAGTAAATCGTCACAAAAGTAATAATAAAATCAGGGCCCCATGCACTGTGAGCAGCACAGTGGCTAAATGGTTAGCACTTCCACCTGGCAGTACTAGGGTCGTTGTTTCGAAGCCCAGCCACGGCACCACCTGCCAGGAGTTTGCATGTTCTCCCTGTGCCTGTGTGGGTTTCCTCTGGGTGCTCCAGTTTCTTCCCACACTCAAAAAGACATGCTGGTAGGTTAATTAGATCCTGTCTAAATTGTCTCTAGTATGTGTATGTATGAATGTGAGTTAGGGACCTTAGATTGTACACCCCTTAAGGGTTAGGGACTGATGTGAATGTACAATATATATGTAAAGTGCTGTGTAAATTGACGGCACTATACAAGTACCTGAAATAAATAAATAAAAATAATTTACTAATATGCACTGCATACTATGACAGACCAGGGGCAGACTGACAACTCGTGGGGCCCACGGGCAATAGGGGATCATGGGGCCCCTGTGCCCTTGCCCAAACTCAAAAAAGCCTATGAAAAAGGTACCAGGGGCATCTCATGGGGCCCCCTACTGACCCCGGCCTAGGGCAGTGCCCAAGTTTCCAAATGGTCAGTCCGCCCCTGTGACAGACTTACCTATACATGGAGCCCTCCAGCACAGCACTGTCACTGCTTCCCAACATTTCCATCTTCCTTCTGAGTTTGCAGGTTCCAGCTGTATGAATGGTCAGGGCCACAAAGACATCACTCCCACACATATGGGAGCCCCAACACACAGCTCTGAAGATACAGCATGGGTATGCATCCCTTCAGAGGCTGCATCCTGTGTGAATCTCTCCTAAGCAGTGCACATGTAGGAGATATAAACTGTACCTACAGGTAAGCCTTAGTATAGGTTTACCTGTAGATACAAGTTAAAAAGTGGACTTCCACTTAAATTGAAACTCCAAAGCACCACTGATCTATGGGAGCTGATCCAGTGGTGAAGGAGCATAAGATGCTCCTAACATTCACTTAAATGTTATTACCTACTAGTAGCTGTAAATTACAATCCTCTTATATTCTGTTTTTTTTTTCCTCTTCAAGGGACAACCAGATAATGTTTTGGATCAACAGTTTGAAAATCAGATCCGCCCTTGTATTGATCTCATTGACTCGCTGCGGGCGCTGGGGGTGGAGAAGGTCTTGGCTTTACCAGCAATTGCTGTTGTTGGTGATCAGAGTTCTGGTAAAAGTTCTGTATTGGAGGCTCTGTCCGGAGTGCGTCTCCCCAGAGGGAGCGGTAAGGAATTGCTGTCTTTTGGTATCATTTTTGTTATATCTATGTCCGTTTCCTTTCATAATCCCAAAACAAACTGACAGGTTAATTGACTTCCATCAAAACTGGCCGTAGATTAATTCTCTCTGTATAAAGGTTGCACCTAACCCAGTGTAGCACTACCCCCTTAGGAGTCGCTGAGTTTTGGGTCCTCCTAAAGCTCTGCACAGTCAGGCAACATGCATTATCTTCCACACTTTGCACTTACAGTCAGTACACAGTCCTTGAGGTTGGTTTTATGATTTTATTAAAGGGGTTTAGAACTTGGATGGGGTTGAGGGGTGTATGGGATGCCCAAGGAAACTGCAACCTTGAGGACAAACTCCTTAGCAACTATGTACAGATGTGGACAAAACAGTCTCTCCTTTAAGATCATTCAAACTCTCTGATGTACCTCCTTAGACCCCAGATGAGTTCTTCTCTTCACCCAGCTGTACTGAGGGCATTCCCTGTGCAAGGGGGGCCCAGAAACTGCTGACTCAGCACAACAATCTCCGGATGAGAAGCTACTTTGGTTTTCCACCTGACTGCCCTCCCCCTTATGCGGCCCAGGCGGTGTAAGAGTATTCACACTGTCCTTCCTGATAGCTTAAAGTGTTACTAAACCCCGGCCCCTGCATTCACTATATCTGGTCTCCCACAGTACACAGTACATGGAAATGCAATTATTAAAGTAAATATAAACTGCTAAATACCTTTTGTCATCAGCAGTTAAAGCAGTCTTGTGACTTCTATCAGTGTCCAGCTGAGCACTGGTTAAAGCTTGTAGGAGGAGTTTTCATTCTCCTCTTACTGTTCTATTAGGCTGCATAACCCCTGACCCTCTGTCTGTAAAATGCTGATTGGCCCTGTGCTGATCACATGCACTCTCCCAAGAGAAAAAAAAAGCTCTCTAGCAATACACACCAAACAGAGCATGTGCAGCTTTCCTCCAGTGCTCTGTTTCAGGGTAGGATCAGAGAAGACAGGCTCAAACAGCCTTTTTACACAATGCATAGGATTAGCCCTTAGGTTCCACAGTGAGTATAACAAGAATGCTTTACTGCATCTACATACTGATTGTACTGTTGCAGGTTTACTAACACTTTGATTGGTTGGTGGCTGCCTTCAGGACTTTTGCTGGGCTGGCTCTTTCCCTGCTGCTCAGGACTGTCCTCCCTTGGAGATGGTGATACAGTGGAGATCATCTTCTCCAGCACCTGCCTGTAGGTAGGTCCCTTCCCTGGGCCCCTTCCCAGGCTCCACGCTCCAGCCCCTCACTCCATCTTCCACCCGACACTGTCCCTGCTGTACAGGCTCTGCAATACTTAAGGGTTGCCTTGGACACCATGCACAGCCTCCTGCCAGGGGATTGGCCAGAGTCCCTCAAGTATGCAGATCCAAGCTTCCTTCCCTCCTCCATCCCTCCTCCAGAAAGCTCTCAGGTTTCTGGAGAGGTGGAAGGGCTCCAGAAGCACTGACCTTCAGAACCTCTCTAGCCTGTCTTGAGGTAACCTCTCTACCTTTCGCCCAGGCTGACTCATCCCAGGCTGCTACTTAGCCTCTTCGTAAAAAAATAAAGTAACAAACTCTCTCTGGCTAAGCTAGAGGGCGTTACACCAGTAATAGCAGGCGACATGCTCACAATTTTGAGAATTGATTTCCATGATCAGGACATTTCTGAATCCTTAGGAAGTTAGAACAATCAATTTAGTTGGTCGGAAGCGCTCGTTATCCTGCAGTGTAATGTTACGATTCTGCTGGGCAAGAAATGCAGAAGATCCCAATGCTCTAACAACTTGTGCAAAGACAGGAAGATACCTTCCCGTTTGGGTGAAAGATCCAGGACATGAATTTTGTGGTGTGCATATCCAGAAAGACCATGATGAGTTGAACAAACCTGATTTGCAGGGCATCAGGTTATATGCACATGCAACGAAGGCTGGCCATAAATGGATGACTTTTTTTCCATCAGCCAGTAGGATGATCAAGAAAAGCCAAATGGATTTCCCTATTCTTCGAGGTGCTCTGAAGGAAACCTCTCCTCTACGCTATTGTATTATGACAGCAGGGATCGATCAGTGCTGCAGCTGATTGGCTGCAGGAGCTGATCGAATCAAAATTTTCCAACATTTCCATTCGAGAGAAGGCGATCATTAGATCAACTTCTTTTCAGATGGAATGGCCAAAGATGGATTGGAATTTGGCAGGTCCCTGCTGAACTGGCTGAATTTTGATCCACCTCACAGTCATTATGGGGTGCTGCTGCATAAGGAGCAGGAACTCCTAGAGTCATTATGTTGGCAGACGAGTGACCCCTTGTTGCTGAAATAGATGAGAATTGCTTAAAGGAGGAGCACGAACTGCACTTATTCTTTATAATCAAATGGCATTAGAACAACTTCTCTTGATCTGGAATAGCCATAGATGGATCGACATTGGACCAGTCCCTGCTGAACTGGTTGAATATTGATCCAACTATGGCCAGCTTAACCATTTGCCGCCCGCCCTATGGCGCGAATGGCGGGCGGCAAATATCATCAGCGTTCCGGTGGACGCCATATGGCGTCCTCCCGCACATGCGCAGATTGCACTCCTGCAGAGCGGAGCAGCGGCGCGTTCTGTCACCGGCCGTGTACCTCGGACACAGCCGATGACAGATCTGAGTATCGGCCCCGTTGCCGGTACCATGTGACCTGCTGTGACCAATCACAGCAGGTCAAATGACAGTTGTATACAATGGATGGCTTCATTCATGCCATCCATTGTATACTAGTGTCTAACTGTGAATGGTCACAACTAATCACATGCACATGTCATGTGATTAGCTGTGGCCAAGTCACAGCTAAGCACAAAAAAAAAAAAAAACCTGAATGAATCGATGTCATTCAGGTAAATGCTTGCTTATAGCAAAGTAAAAAAAAAAAATACTGATCACTTCCCCAAAGTAGTACAATGTTACTATGGTAACATTGTACTACTTTGGTCATAGTGAAATATGAAAAAAAATCTTAAAAAAAAAAAAAAATTTTAATAAAAAATAATGAAAAAAAAAAAAATATATATTTTTTTTTTTTTCATACTGTCACCAGTCAGTGTCACTGATCACCGCCATGACAGTTATATGATGACGCTGTATTGCACTGGTGACAGTATGTAAAAAAAAAATAGTGAAACTAATTTTTTTAATTTTTTAATTTTCCGAAAAATTAGGATAAAAAAAAATACAACTTCAAAAAACTCGCCATGCCTCTTATGAAGTACGTCGGACTGTCTACTTTACAAAAAGGGGTCATTTGGGGGATATCTGTACTGTTCTGACATTTTTGGACTTCAAGAAATTAGATTGGCTGTCAGTACTTCAGGATTGATCAATATTCAGATCTATACCATAGTTTGTGAACTCTATAACTTTCCTACAAACTAAAAAATACATCCTAATTTGGGTTATTTTCACCAAAGACATGTAGCAGAATACATCTCGGCCTAAATTTATGAAGAACAATTATTTATTTGCAAACCTTTATAACAGAAACAAAGAAAAACTTTTTTTTTTTTCAAAATTTTTCGTCTTTTTTTGTTAATTTAGCAAAAAATAAAAACCCCAGCGGTGATTAAATACCACCAAAAGAAAGCTCTAGTTGTGTGAAGAAAATGATAAAATTTTAGTTTGGGTACAATGTTGTATGACCGCGCAATTGTCATTCAAAGTGTGAGAAAGCTGAAACCTGAAAACTGGCCTGGGCAGGAAGGTGTAAAATTGCCCGGTATTGAATTAGTTAAATGACCCAGATAGAAGATATTTCTTTGTTTCCTAGTAGAGACAGTGCTATCTATATTTTCGATATACTGGAACAGTCAACAAGTGCAGAAGTAGTGTTGGGTTTTCTTATTAAGAGGTCCAGAATGCCCTACACAGATTATAGCAAAGAACATCTTGTAATAATAGTTTCTAATATAAAGAATATAAACAATTAATGGGAAAGATCACAGTCATTTCTAAACTTGTAAACCTTCTAAAGAAATGTGAAAGTATAACCAAACATGTCATGGTGAGCTGAGCTAAAAGGAACCTAAAAGTCCTCCATGACAGCAGTGTGAATCTCATTGGAGCCTTCTTAAAACCCCAAAATAATGGAATTCATCTTCAGTTTAGGCTCATGGGTGGTGCCATGCAAATCAGTACTTTGTACCTTTGGGTCTACTGTGTGTAGCACTACCTCTGGATTTGATTTGGGTTCCCCTAAATCTGGCCATACAAGTGTAGATTTTCGGACGAGAATGTTTGTACAAAAAGTCGTATGAAAATTCTTTGAACATTCAGTGAATGGACGAACGTCGTTCGAAAATTGTCTTTTGCTTTTAACATTCGAGTTTAAAATGAATGTAATTTCTGAAAATTTGTTTGATTAAGAAAAGTTGCCCTTCCCACCCCTTCGAATTTTCCCTTCACTGTGGTCAAAAACAAACATCGATTTGACCCCACTAACAATTAGAAAATCAAACGAATATTCTTGAAATGAAAATTCTTGAACGAAAATCTGGCCAGCTTAAGCTTTACACAGCCAAGCAACGCATTTTTCACACTTAATATATAAATATATTAGCGTAGGCCAATATATTGTAAATATAATTTTTTTTCTAAATATATTGGAAATACATTTCTCTTCCATGTGAGTAAGCTCTGGAGCAACCGCACTTGCAGAGTGCAGCTGCACTTTGCAAAGTGCACAGTCTATTTGCCTAGTAAATCCACCTCTATAATATTGGCTGACAAGTGATCCCTTTGTTGCTGAAATATCTGAGCAGACTGCTTAGAGAGGAAGCACGAAGTGTACTTATCCTTTATGATCCAGTGGCTCTATGTTCCTAAATAACTCTATGATGATTATTATTTTTTTTTTTACTAGGTATTGTCACACGTTGTCCTCTGGAGCTCAAGTTAAAGAAGTCCCCAAAGGCTTCAATGTGGAGTGGAAAAATAAGCTATCGATTTCAAAACATAACCCTTTCAAGTCCGGCTCAGGTGGAGAATGAAGTTAGGAAGGGTAAGCATTCTTCTGTACAGTTTTAGAGGAGAAGTAATAAAGTCTGCATGTGCAGGTTAAACGGCGACTCCAGCAAGGCAGCTAATGGCTCAGTTAAAACACATTTTGCAGAACGGTTTTAGCTGCCAAAACATTTGTACAATAATGGACATGGACTTCTTACCATGCCAAACCCTGCTGTGTTATGTGACTGCATAGGGCGGGGGTCAGCAACCAGTAGATCTTGGCCAGATGACTGGTAGATCGTGGTCTGGGCTTGCTGACCCGTCATCCCAGAGCATCAGAGTGAAATGCAGAGGGACTACCTGTAAAGTCGGAGCTGTAGTAGGGAGCAAGAGCCACATAAGTCGATGCCTCCTCTGTAGTGACGGCTCTTGTCCCATGCAGAGTGATACCAACTGCACTCCACCTCTTATTTCGGCTAGCGGTCTCCAGAGTGGTGCCAGCAGCAGGAAAGTAGATCTTCAGGTCATCGTGAAGCAATACACTGGGCATGATAGTATAGGGCTGCTTTCACATTCATGTGCTGCGGTCTACCCACACAGCGGGTGCAGTGCAGTCTACCTGCAGCTTTCCTTTGGGTTTGCTGTGCTTAGACATAGACTTCTGTTATATCCTACAGGGTTAGTGCACTTTCTGCAGGGCGACAGCAGAGTGGCCCCATTTACTTGAATGGATCATGATTGGCAGGCAGTAGCACCCACCAATAGCAACAGGGGGTTAATTCCTGCTGCGGCATGTGTACACCTTTGGCTGCTGCCCTAAGGGTGCCCTGCCCAATGCTACTGAGGGTTCATTCACAAGGTGGTGGGGAGGTGATATGTTACCTCCTCATCACCTGATGTAAACCCATGATTGCCAGGCAATGCACAGGATTGCGACACGGCAGAGGTCTGAATCAAGTGTGAGGAGGTGACACCGTGCCCAGTGATCTTTGACTTCTTCCATGTTGTTCAGGTAGACCTCTTTGAGGTTGTTTTTTTGCCTACCCCTGTCATCGGGGGAGTGCTGCAATACCAACCAAACCCAGGGGCGGACTGACCATCGGGCACTCAGGCACTGCTAGAGGGCCCGGGGTCAGTAGGGGGCCCCATGAGATGCCCTTGGTACCTTTCATAGTCTTTTTGGTGTGGTTTAACTGTGGGCAAGGACACAGGGGCCCCATGATCTATTATTGCCTGGGGGCTCCATTCATTGCCAGTCCACGCCTGACCAAACCATTCTCTTCGCTCCTCCTATGAACTCTTACTTTCTAGCTGCCTTGTAACCTTCTCTCATGCTTGCCTCTGGGACTTCTCCAGAGGCTCTCCCTTTCTTTGGAACTCTCTATCTCAACTTGTATGGCTATCTCCTACTCTGTCTGCCTTTAGGCGACCCCTGAGAACTCATCTCTCCAGGAAAGCCTATCCTGCCCTTACCTAACAACTGCATTTTACCTTCTCCATCAACTCATCCCTCACACTTATCACCATTTGTATCATCTGCTCTTCTGCTTAGCTTCAGCCCTCCTAATGCAGGCCATACACGGTTTGAATTCCGAACGATTTTCGTACGAAAATCGGACCTAAGAATAATCGGCTGATTTTCACTCTGTTAGTGGGGCAATGGCATCGGCCAATGTTCGTGGTTCCTCTCCATTTCAGTTATCAGGCATGCTGGAAAATTTGTGAAAAACGGCCGATTTTCAAAATCATTGGTGGCACCATCCGATTACAGAACGAACGATGTTTCGATTTTCGGACAAAAAATTGTTTGGAATTCGAACCATGTATGGCCTGCATAACACTCTTGTCTTGAATTGTATTGAAATAATAATTTCTCCTTTTATTTTGTAAAGCATTTGTACAAACTGTTGTATAAATCCTGTATAATAATGCTACAAAAATAACAATTATAATCACTTAACCTCCCTGGCGGTATTCCCGAGTGTAGCTCGGGGTAAGGTTTCAGTACCACAAGCGGTAACCCTGAGCTACACTCGGGAATACCCTGCTCCGGGATCCCTCTTGCACTTACCTTGTCCTGCGCTCCCACGATGTCCCTCCTGCAGTGTCCCCGGCAATGTAATCCGGCGGATGCCGGCATCTGTCATCTGGGTTCCGTCCCCTGCGAGCGTCGGGATGTACAGGGGATGGAACGGCAGGAAATTTGAAAATGACAAAAAGTGACATTCACTAAAATCACATAGTATAACATTCCTGTATATAACCATTTCACATACATTTTGTCCCGAGTGCTTTGTCCTGCGCCCTGCCTGCATTTTTACTGTTCTTTCTGTCTGGAAACTGAGAAACGTCCATGGTGTCCAAAAAGCATCCCTTTAGGTCAAAAGCGGTTTTAGACCGGCTAGAGAACAGCGATAGTAAATCAGAACCACTTGCAGAATTGAGTGATAATGATTTGTGGGGGAAATTCGTCATCAGACACTGAAAACGATTTTGCGACTTTGCTCAGCAATGTGTGAACTTGGCGCTATATTTCAAATTTCAGTGTTTTTGGTTTGATTATATTATTGAATTCAATTTATTATTATTATATTGTTTTTTATGATTATTTATTAAATTATAATTTATGATTTCGTGTTTCAAGTTTTATCATACCTGGGATGTTTACTAGACTCTTGTTCGGACAGATTTCAGTGAGTTATTCCTAAAAATGACAGCCTACAATAAAAAATGCCAAATTTCCATGCAAAATAATGGTTACCGCTTTCAGCAACAAAAATCTGAAATAATCAGACCGCCATGGAGGTTAAACACGTGCACCTGGAAGATTCACCTGCAATGGATGTTTGGTGAATGTCAGATTCACAGCTTTATAATTACGCACCCAAAATGTACAGACAGCATTCCTAGTGACAGCAAGAGTCCTTTTCAGACATTGGAAGACTCTGCTGGCAACACAAGCAACTGGACGCTTGGGAATTGTATTTTGATATTGCTGTACATTTTCTGAAGGCGGGTCAATCCTTTCATTTTCGTTATATATAAATCCACATTAAAAATAAATGTGAATGGCTGCATCATGACATTTTTTTTTTTTCCTTCTCTTGGTTTGTAGCTCAGAACTGCATGGCTGGGACAGGGAATGGTGTTAGTGATCAGCTGATCACCCTGGAAATCATGTCGCCCAACGTTCCAGACCTGACGCTGATCGATCTGCCAGGAATCACACGGGTCACTTTACCTAACCAGCCTCTAAATATTGGGGAGCAGGTTCGTCTTATGACCTGAAATGAATGACCTGACATGTGTATTATCTTCTAAAGGACTAACAGCTAACAGGAAATGCCATAGCACAACTCGTACCTAAAGCTTTGTTGCACCATATGATTGCATTAAAGTGTTAAAAACCCACAACAGTAAAATCAGTCTGTATATGCAGTAAAGCATGCTTGTTATACTCACTGTGGAACCTAAGGGGTTAATCCTCTGCATTGTGTAAAAAGGCTGTTTGATCCTGTCTTCTCTGATCCTCCCCTTCTTCTACTGTCCCCAATCCTTCCGCTGATAGAACAGAGCCCTAGGAGACACTCTGCACATGCCGTTTGGTGTGTATTGCTAGAGGTTTTTTTTTTTCTTTGGGTGCATGTGATCAGCACAGGGCCAATTAGCACTGTCCAGACAGAGGGTCAGGGGTTATGCAGCCTCATAGGACAGTCAGTGGAGAATGAAAACTCCTCCTACAAGCTTTAACCAGTGGACACTGATAGAAGTCACAAGAGTGCACTAACTGCTGATGACAAAAGGTATTTAGCAGTTTATATTTACTAAAATAATTGCATTTCATGTTTTGTGTACTGTGGGAGACCAGATATAGTGAATGTAGGGTCCGGGGAGAGCAGATATAGTGAATGCAGGGTCCGGGGAGACCAGATATAGTGAATGCAGGGTCCGGGGAGACCAGATATAGTGAATGCGGGGTCCGGGGAGTCCAGATATAGTGAATGCGGGGCCCGGGGAGACCAGATATAGTGAATGCAGGGTCCGGGGAGACCAGATATAGTGAATGCAGGGTCCAGGGAGACCAGATATAGTGAATGCAGGGTCCGGGGAGACCAGATATAGTGAATGCAGGGTCCAGGGAGACCAGATATAGTGAATGCAGGGTCCAGATATAGTGAATGCAGGGTCCGGGGAGACCAGATATAGTGGGTCCAGGGAGACCAGATATAGTCCAGGGAGACCAGATAAGTGAATGCAGGGTCCGGGGAGGATATTTGCAGGGTCCTGGGACACTTTAATACCGGGCACTTTTACCCCCTTCCTGCCCAGGACAATTTTCAGCTTTCAATGCTGTTGCACTTTGTATGACAATTGCGCAATCATGCAGTGCTGTACCCAAACTACATTTCTATCATTTTGTTCACCCAAATAGCGCTTTCTTTTGATGGTATTTAATCACCACTGGGTTTTTTTTTTATTTTTTGCTAAATAAATGAAAAAAGACAAACATTTTTTTTTTTAAATACAAGGTCTTTGTTTCTGTTATAAAATTTTGCAAATAAATAATCTTTCTTCACACATTTAGGCCAAAATGTATTCTGCTACACGTCTTTGGTGAAAGTAACCCAAATCAGTGTTTATTATTTAGTCTGCAGGAGAGTTATAGAATCTAAAAACTATGGTATATATCTGAAAATCGATCAGTCCTGATGTACTGTCAGCCGATCTCATTTCTTGAGACTGAAAAATGTCAGAACAGTACAGATATCCCCCAAATTACCCCTTTTTGGAAAGTAGACATACAAGGTATTTCGTAACAGGCATGGAGAGTTTTTTGAAGTTGTAATTTTGTGGCAAAACAGACTGGGCACTCTGCAAGTGCAGTTGCTCCAGAAATGAGGTGAATCTTTACTTTGCAAACACATGCAAGGAAAATAAAAAAAAACAGCATTTTTGCTTGTACATGATTGGATGATGGTAGTCAGCAGAGTTTCTGCTCATTTACTAAGCTCCGGAGCAACTGCTCTTACAGAGTGCAACTGCACTTTGCAAAGTGCACAGTCTATTTGCCATTAGTAAATCAACTTCATAGAGTGCAGGGCCAGGGTGCATAATGCACAGAGTGCAGGGGTCAGTAGTATGTACCATACAGAATGTAAGAGGAGCGTGTAACGCTCGGAATGCAGGGGCCAGGAGAGCCTAAAGCAGGGAGCTCAAGGAGCAGGAGCGCGTAATACAAAGAATGCAGGAGCAACAATGCAAAACTCACAGTTTAGAGAGAGGGGAAGTCCTCCCCTTGGCTGTGTCATAAGACTGGAGAAGCCTCCCTTTGGCTCTGAACTGTGTCAGGTGAGCTGAAGCAGTACACATCACACAAACAAAATTGTCGGGTGTCCCCAACACCCACAGAATGTTGGCACCAGGTGCAGAATGTACCCTTCCAAGTACCTCTCTGCCATTGTCCATTCACAAAACTCCCCATAGCATGTGAAACTTTTTATTAAGGATGTCTATTACTTGGCCAGTTAGCAGGCTTGATGGGCCTGCTGGGAGAAATAATATATATCTGAGGCACCTTTTGGCACATGACCTTCTATCCAGGGTTTTTGCACACTGAGAAGATTCTACTGTAATACCAGTCATGTTTGATCTGGGATGTTGCAGGGATCTCCCCATCTAGGAGGCCTCAATAAAGATGCGCTGCAATGAAGTTCTCTATGAATGTAGAGCAGCAGTCTCCAAACCTTCTAAACAAAGGGCCAGTTTACTGTCCTTCAGACTTTAGAGGAGCCAGACTATGGCCACTGGGAGTAGAAAAGGTCCTGATATCAGTGGGAAAAACAGTGGCCCATCTTTGGTGTCAGTGGGAGGAATTGTGATCTATCGTTGGTGTCATTGGGAGGAAATGTGCCCCATTGTTGGTGTCATTGGGCTCTGTTATTGATGTCATTGGAAGGAATTGTGCCCCTTCATTGGTGCCATTGGGAGTATTTGAGCCCCATCGTTGCTATCATTGGACACAATTATTAGTATTATTAGGAGGAAGTGTGCCCCATCATTAGTGTCATTGGGTCCAATTGTTGGTGTCATTGGGAGGAATTGTGCCCCATTGTTGGTGTTACTGGAATTGTGCCCCATCATTGGTGTCATCGAGCCCAAATGTTGGTATCAGTAGACAAAATAGTGCCTCAAGGGTCAGATAAAAGCAAGCAAAGAACCCTGGGCCGCAGTTTGGAGATCACTGGTGTAGGGGAAGCAGACTGCAGAGGTCCTCCACATGGAGGTCTGAGTAGGGAAGAAACACAGGAACCTTTCCATTAAAGTTCTGCAGTTGAACCTTAAATATCAAGGAGCTATTTTAGGGTTCAGCCATTAGTACCTGGTCAGTGAGGGACCTAGAAAGTTAGAGAGACAAGCAAGTAGACCACAAACTATGTTTTGAGAAGAAATTTACAGGTATGTGTGCCCTTCACCCTCCTACCCATTTCTTCAAGCACATGTGCAATAAAACTTTTAAAACCCAAAGCAAAGTGATTGGCACCCAACTTTCTGCCCAACTTGCCCAACTTAACGACAAGAGCTTCAGCCCAAGAGACGTGTGCCTGGGACATTTGTAATGCAGCTACTGAGTAGATGAAGTCCAATTCCTTTAAAACATGTATAGCACTACATCTGGTTATATTTTAACTGAATAAAATTCTAATTTTTCACAGATTAAGGAAATGATTATCAAGTACATTAGCAGACAGGAGACCATTGTTTTGGCCGTGGTCCCCAGTAATGTGGATATTGCAACCATTGAAGCTCTGAAGTTGGCAAAACAAGTGGACCCCAAAGGAAAGCGGACACTAGGTATGCAGAAACTTGTTCAATGTTTTATACATTTGTAGCACTTCCCTCGTGAGGGCCACTGTATTGTGGGTATCCCTAAACTTCCCTCCGCACAGCCAGGCAGCAGGTATTTCTCACATAGGCTTGCATCCAAAGACAGTGACCAGTCCATCAACTTGGTTTTGTTGTTTTTTTATTAGGGGATTTTAACTTGGATGGCGAATAGGGATTATGGGATGCCCAATTCGACTTGAAATAATGGAAGGGGGACACTTCCTTCCTATGTACAAAGCAGATCCTGGACTGTTCTTTTCCTGAACGCCTTCAGTCATTGCGGATCAGTAGCAGCTGCCCCTTATGGGTAAGGAACTAGCAGCCCTTCAAAAATCACTTCACTTCTCTAGCTACATGCAGAGACGTCTTCTCTCCCGCTATGGAGCTGCTCCCAGCTCCTCAGCCTGCAAGCACTGCCAGCCCTCCTGGCTTCTCGTAAGATCCCTCAGGTCAAGGATAAAGGATTTAGCTCAATGCTTTCCTTGTAAAGCTTGCTACGTGTGGCAGTATTTCCCCTTTTAAATCCCAAAGTGTGCTGCTGTACTCACATAGTCCTCTCTGCACCCTGCTACTCCAGACCTGATCCCATCCACACCTCTCCACAGAATGTATCCTCCTGAGCCAGCCTGAGCCCAGCCTATAGACCGACCCCTCCCAGGCACCGACTGTGTCCTCAGAACTCCATCTTCCACCCTGTCAGCCTGACTCTCCCATATTTATAGACCAGTCCACCACTCCACCATGGCCTCTGAACCTGGGATTGGCCAGACCCCCCATGAATATGCAGATTAGGCCTCCACCCCTTCCTTCTTACTGAGCTCTGGAAGGTTCTATGGTCCTCTAGAGTCAGGAGGAGGTGGTACAGTCATCCAGCTGACCTGCAATAACCCAACCTAATCCACATGACCCACACAACTACCAAGAGTCACATAATAATTTTGCCTATATTACACTACACTATTCTAGTAGCAGACTAGAGGGTGCTACACATTTTGCTGGATTAATAAAATGCTTCCATGCAATGCTGTTTCCTGCTTGTGCCCCTCTGACAACTGTGTATAAAGGATGCTCCTGCACAAATCCTTACCTTGCTCCATGCTAGAGATCTTCCATTTCTTAGTAGTCATTCAGGAAACACCGAAACACTCAAGTTCTAACTATCTCTGTGATAGGTGAATGACAGATCAGAGGAAGAGCAGGACCGGCTGAGCTGGGAAAGTATATTCATAGGGAGGCCCAGACTGGCAGCCTGGAAATTCTGGCAAATACTGAAATGGGTGCTTTTTTGTGAATTCCTGTGGTTGATCAACCTGTAATGCTGATTGTATGCAAAACTCTAAATAACTAACCAAGCACAGGTGCAATAGTTGGAAATATTTTTGTAGGGAAGGATAAGTTTGGTAGATTCTGATTGTTGTTCCTTTGGGATGACTGTTTATTGATCAAACCACCAATTAGTACTATCATATATACGGGTAGTTATGTACAGTATGTGGCTAGCATGTTCTGTTGAAAATAACAGTGTTTATTGTAGTGTTCAGATGGCTTGCATTCTTTCCTTAATACTTTATCTGGACAAAAATGGTTTGAGCTCCGGAAGATTTTACCCTCTTCATGACCAGGTCATTTTTTGCTATTTTGGCACTGCGCTACTTTAACTGTCATGCAAAACTGTACCCAAATTTAATTTTTATCATTTTTTCACACAAATAGATCTTTCTTTTGGTGGTATTTGATCGCCACTGGGTTTTTTATTTTTTGCAATATAAACGAAAAGAAGACTGAAAAGTTTGAAAAAAAAACAATATGTTTTACTTTCTCCTATAAATCATATCTAATAAAAAAAAAAATCAAATTTATTCATAAATTTTGGCCAAAATGTATTCTGCTACATGTCTTTGGAAAATAAAATTCAAATAAGTGTATACTGATTGGCTTGCGTGAAAGGTATAGCGTATACAAACTATGGTATATATAGAGGAATATTTTTGTTTATACTACTAATGATGGTGATCGGTGTCTTATAATGGGACTGCAATAGTACGACGGGCAATCTGACACTAACTGACGCTGAGGGAAACTGACTAACTGCCACTGACATCACCAGTGACATTAAAACAGTCATCAGTGCTAATATTATACACTGTCACTGTACTAATGACACTGGTTGGGAAGGGGTTAATATCTAGGGCGATCAAGGGGTTAAATGTGTGCCTAACAATGTGTAAAGTGTGCTGCTTTTACTAAGAGACCTCTTTGTTTCTCATCCCTGCTTTGGAGGCACAGAAGGAAAGAAGGAAGGAGGAAAAGAAGGAAGGAGGGAAAGAAAGAGGAAAAGAAGGAAAGAGGGAAAGAAGGAAAGAGGGAAAGAAGGAAGGAGGGACAGAAGGAAGGAGGGACAGAAGGAAGGAGGGACAGAAGGAAGGAGGGAAAGAAGGAAGAAGGGACAGAAGGAAGGAGGGACAGAAGGAAAGAGGGAAAGAAGGAAAGAGGGAAAGAAAAGAAGAAAGAAAGAAAGAAAGAAAGAAGATACAAGGCTGGTGGGGAGTGTGGATGGGGCAGACACAGCAGGAGAGGGCGGGAGGAGGGGCAGAACCAGCTTTCTCTCTCCTCTGTCTGTGGTGGGCAGGGAACTGTCAGCACTGGGGACAGAATATACTGACAGATCCCTGCTGCGGAGGAGATGGGGGGGGGGGCAGCTGCAGGGGAGCATACAGGGCATACAGGAGACGGATAGGAGGGGCGGCCGGGCAGCACATAGAGGAACCGAGAAATGCACGAATCGGTTCTTCTATGTGCCGCCGAGCCGCCCTTCCAATCCAGGTGGCCCCGGCCCACCGGGCAAATACCTGCTGTGCCCTATGGCCAGTCTGGGCCTGGTGGCAACCATGGTTCTCTCCATCAAGAAATGAGTGCAGACACAAAGGGGGGATTTACTAAAACTGTAGCACACAGAATCTGGTGCAGCTGTGCACAATAGCCAATCAGCTTCCAGGTTTTATTGTCAAAGCTTAATTGAACAAGCTGAAGTTAGAAGCTGATTGGTTACCATGCACAGCTGCATCAGATTCTGAGTGCTCCAGTTTTAGTAAATCTACCCCAAAGGGACAGGATCTCTGTTATTTTCAAGATTACCAGGTGAAAATAAAGGGAAAAAAGCCTTAGAAAAGGAAGACTAATGCAGCCACTGCACCGAAGGACCTGTAAGCTACAATATATTACATTTTTGTTTTTGGGTCCACTGCTCTATGAAGGGGAACTTCACTTGTCACCTGCTTACAGAAGGCTTTGCCACCCATGGACGCATATGAGCAGTGTGTGGACATTAAAGTTCATCCTCTTTGCTGCCGCATAAATGCGGATTGGATTCAGGTGTTCCAGTCATCTTCATGGCCACAAGTGTATAAAATCAAGCCCCTAGGCATGCAGACTGCTTCTACAAACATTGTGAAAGAATGGGTCGCTCTCAGGAGCTCAGTGACTCCAGCATGCTCCTGTGATAGGTTGTCACCTGTGCAATAAGTCCATCTGTGACATTTCCTGGCTACTAAATATTCCACAATCAACTGTTAGTGGGAATATAACTAAGTGGAAGCAACTGGTAACAACAGCCACTCAGTCACCAAGTGGTAGCCACAGAAAGGACAGAAAAGCACAAGAGTGTGTACAGAGCTTCATGGAATGGGTTTCCATGGCCGAGCAGCTGCATCCAAGCCTTACATAACCAAGTGCAATGCAAAGCGTCGGATGCCGTGGTGTAAAGTACGCTGCCACTGGACTCTAGAGAAGTGGAGACCTGTTCTCTGGAGTGAACAATCACGCTTCTATGTCTGGCAATCCTGTGTCGGTTGCCAGAACAGTACTTGCCTGACTGTATTGTGCCAAGTGTAAAGTTTGGTGGAGGGGGGATTATGGTGTGGGGTTGTTTTTCAGGGGTTGGGTTTGGCCCTTAGTTACAGTGAAGTAACCCCCATAAGGCATCAGCATACCAAGACATTTTGGACAATTTCATGCTCCCAACTTTGTGGGAACAGTTTGGGGATGGCCCCTTCCTGTTCCAACATGACTGCGCAACAGTGCACAAAGCAAGGTCCATAAAGACATGGAGGAGCCAGTTTGGGGTGGAGGAACTTGACTGGCCTGAAGAGAGTCCTGACCTCAACCTGATAGAACACCTTTGGGGTGAATTAGAGCGGAGACTACGAGCCAGGCCTTCTAGTCCGACATCAGTGCCTGACCTCACAAATGCTGGAAGAATGGTCCAACCTTCCCATAGACACCCTCCTAAACCTTGTGGACGGCCTTCCCAGAAGAGTTGAGGCTGTTATAGCTGCAAAGGGTGGGGCCAACTCAATATTGAACCCTACGGACTAAGACTGAGAGGCCATTAACCACTTGCCGCCCTGCCACTGTACATATACGGCGGCAGGGCGGCACTCGCAGGCAAAACCACATTTTAAAACGTGTGTTTTGTAAACAAATATGGGGCGTGTGTTTTGTAAACAAATATATGTCAGTCCTTAGCGGCTATGTCCCGGCGATCGGCGGCACACAGTGACAGAGAGCACAGCTGCAGTAGCTGTGCTGTCTGTCACTTCCCTGTCAGCTCGAGGATGAGCTGATCGAGAAAGAAAGTTTCTCTTTCTCGATCAGCCTTGTCCCGCCCAGTACACACCCCCGCCCCCTAGTAAAACACTCCCCTCACTCCTATAACCCTTCCCTGCAAAATAAAGTTAACCCCTTCCTCCCCTGTGTCATTAGTACAGTGTCAGTTTTTTTTTTTTGCACTGATCACTGTTTTAGTGTTTTTGGGGATGTCATTGACCCCAAGTCAGTACCCCCCAATGTCAGAATGTCTGCCGCAGTCCCGCCATAAGTCGCTGGTCGCCGCCATAAGTCCCTGATCGCCACCATAATTCGCTGATCGCCGCCATTATTAGTATAAAAAAAAAAACTAAAAATCCCAGTATCTTTTCCGCCATTTGTAAACGCTATAACTTTCACGTAAACCAATTAATTTACACGTATTGGGTTTTTTTTTTAGCAAAGACATGTCGCAGAATGCATTTTGGCAGAAATTTATGACTAAATTTGATTTTTGCATTTTTTTTTTTTACTGGACATGTTTTATAGCAAAAAGTCCAAAAATATTGTTTTTTTTTTCCTCAAAATTGTCAGCCTTTTTTTTTTATAGCACAAAAAATAAAAACCGCACAGGCGATCAAATACCACCGAAAGAAAGCTCAATTTGTGCGGAAAAAAAAGGATGTATATTTCATTTATGTACCATATTGCATGACCGCGCAATTGTCCGTTAAACTAGCGCAGCGCTGTATAGCAGAAAAATGGCGTAAATTGCAGTATCTATACCATAGTTTGTAGACGCTATAACTTCCACACAAAGCAATCAATATACACATATTGGGATTTTTTTTACCAAAAACATGTAACATTTTGGCCTAAATTTATAACCAACTTTGAGTTTACTATATATTTTTTATAGCTGAAAATAAAAAATATTGTTTTTCTTCAAAATTTTTGGCCTTTTTTTTGTTTATAGCGTGAAAAATAAAAAGCGCACAGGTGATCAAATTACACCGAAAGAAAGCTCTATTTGTGTGAAAAAAAGGACGTAAATTTCGTTTGGGTGCAGCATTGCATGACCGCGCAATTATCAGTTGAATTAGTGCTGCGCCGAGTAGCAAAAAGAGGCCTGGTCATTAAGGGGGGTAAATCCTCAGGAGGGCAAGTGGTTAAAGTTCATGTGCGTGTAAATGCAGGCCGACCAATACTTTGGGTAATATAGTGTATCTTCTTGTATCTCATTACACAGGTATCCTGACTAAACCAGATCTGGTCGACAAGGGAGCAGAAAAAGAGGTTATAAGAGTGGTGAGAAACCTGACCTACCCACTTAAGGAAGGATATATGATTGTGAAATGTCGGGCGCAGAGCGAACTCCAGAGCAACCTTTCCCTGGAAGATGCCATAAATAATGAAAGAGCTTACTTTGAAGGCCACGAACTTTTCAGGTATTGTTGCTGACCTCCCAGGTGTCCCCGGTTTGACAGGACTGGCAACATTTTTGGAACTCTGAACAAGCAATGCCTAAACTGCATGTGCAGCCAGAACATTTTTTTTTTCTTGTTTTGCCCTCTGGCATGAGAATAGAGGGGAAATCGGTCAATGGGGCACTTCTGAGAACTGTGTGACAGGATTTTAGATACACCCGAATGTACCAATAGCAATGGTATTTGTTTTTTTTTTTCTCTAGAGTTCTTCTACATGAAGGTTTTGCTACAGTCCCAACACTGGCAAAAAAGCTGACAGTGAAACTGGTGGAGCGTATTCATGTAAGTCGTCTGTTTGCAATAGCACTTCCACCTGGTAGTACTAGGGTCGTTGGTTCGAACTAAAGCCACAGCACCAACTGCCTGGAGTTTGCATGTTCTCCCTGTGAATGCGTGGGTTTCCTCCAGGTACTCCAGTTTCCTCTCACACTCCAAAGACATGCTGGTAGGTTAAGTGGATCCTGTCTAAATTGTCCCTAGTATGTGTATGTATGAATGTATTTTAGGAACCTTAGATTGTACACCCCTTGAGGGTTAGGGACTGATGTGAATGTGCAATATATATGTAAATAATCCAAGGTCCTCCTGCGCTATGAGAATGGAAATACTAAACCTATTCAATAGCTGCCAGCACTCAAAACTGATACCAAACAACAGTGTCAATAAATCATGAAAAAACAGTGCAGCGCTCTAAGAGACTGTATCTACAACTAAATGATAATAAATCAATAACATTAATATAATACAATAGTGCCAAAAAATAAAAAATTTGTGTCAAACCATGATAAAATAAAAACAAAAAATGAAGTGCCAAACCATAACCATGTAAATGGTGTGTACACAATTAATTATACTTAATCACACTCCAAAATTACATCCAATAAAGGAAATCTTAGCAGTGCTCACACAGTGCCACAAAAAATGAACATAAATATATGTATTCAGAACAATGTCCTTTTAGTGAAAAATGACATAAATCATGCGATGTGCAACAGTGGTATTGAATGCAAAACGTGACTGTGCCAAACTCTTCCTCGTTAACGGCTAAATTGCCTCCTCACCTCCTCCTACTGACCCCAAGGGGCCAATAGGCTTGCAGGATCACCCTGGATCCTTAATTGACCATAGCCAGCAGCTTCCTTCCTTCCCTGGATCTCCTTAGAGGGGCTCCTAATGCCCCTATTCGGTCAGGGCGGTCCTGAAGAGTAATAGCTGTTTATCTGCAATATGTCCTCTACAGCTGTACAAAGTCCAGAATTTTCACAGGATCTCTCAGCTAACACAGGTAACAGCATACAAAGACCATTCGGCCGAATGGTCTTTGTATGCTGTTACCTGTGTTAGCTGAGAGATCCTGTGTAAATTAAAAAAATGCGCATGAGCCGTGACCAAAGAAAAAGAAGAAAGAACATCTGTATCTATTTGTATTCATTTCGGATACAGATGTTTCTATTCGGATACAAATAGATACAATGTTTGCAACCACTATACTTTTAAATGTCAAATATAATAGCGGAGCTCTCTGCAGGGACACCACTATTAGATTTGACATTTATAAGTATTGCGGTTGCAAACATTGTATCTATTTGTATCCGAATAGAAACATCTGTATCCGAAATGAATACAAATAGATACAGATGTTCTTCTTTTTCTTTGGTCACGGCTCATGCGCATTTTTTTAATCGGTAAAAAGATCGGCCGATTTGCCCATCATTGCCGTGAAAATCAGCCGATGAGCAAAATCGGCCGTTTTTTTTTCCAACATGACCGATAAAAAAAATGTGTCAAAATCAAGAAAACCGGCCGACCAATTCAGCCACTAACGATCCGAAAATCGAGCGACTATTTTTTTGGACGAATTTTCAGACGGTTTTCTCCCCGTTTATGGCCTGCATAAGCAGTACAACTCTAAGTAGAGAGACCGGGAGGTTAACCGCGTTTACAAGCGTTTGGCGTTTGAAACGCTGGTAAAATCTACTCCTGAACGCAAGTTTGGTGTGTTCAAAAAAAACGACTGTAAACTCAACTGCCTGTAAACGACTGTAAACGACGATGTGTACATGGACACATAGGAAAACATTAGGGAGAGTTCAGGGGCTGCTGAAAAAAAACGTAGAACAGTTCCTGAACATCAGTTTATCAGCTGCAGTGTGCATGAACCCTAAGGAGTCAGATTTTCTGAGCCCATGGGCGTCCTTCGCGTACATACACAAATCTAAAGGATTTAAAAAAAAAATATATGGATTTGATTTTGCATTTGAGAATGCTGAAAGACATGCAGTTGTGGATTATTTTTTACATTTAGTGTTCATCCCTTTTTTTTTCTTCAGAGAACATTGCTGACTCTAGAGAAACAGATCAAAAGTAAATTAAAGGAAACAGAAGACAACCTAAACCTAATTGGTACAAACGTCCCTGACACGGGAACAGAGAAGCTTGATTTTCTAATAGAGGTAAGAGATGCAACACAAATGTAGAAACTTCAGAATAGTTGTGCCCAGGGGCGGACTGACAACTCATGGGGCCCCTGGGCAATAGGGGATGATGGGGCCCCTGTGTCCTTGCCCAAACTCAAAAAAGCCTATGAAAACGGTACCAGGGGCATCTCATGGGGCCCCCTACTGACCCCGGGCCCTCGGGCAGTGCCCGAGTTTCCAAATGGTCAGTCCGCCCCTGGTTGTGCCCAATGCAATGCTCCTGTTTTTTTTTCTGTGGAGTTGTTCCAGACTTTGCCTATAATCCAGTTGTTCCTTAGATATCAAACAACCCTGCTTCAGGTGTCAGGTTTTGCTATGTGACTACACAATACCTCCTCTCTCCTCTTTGCTATAACACAGAAGTGTTTTGTAGTCACAGCCCACTTCTTGCAGATCAACAGGCATTTTTTTGAACTTCTCAGATATAACAGATGGCTTTAACAGACCAAAATGGAACTTGTAAGAGAAATTCATTTTTATGGATATTTTTACATAGATTGGACAATGTAAATGTAAGTATCTATATCAGGAGCATACCTACAGGGGTCGCAGGGGTCGCAATTGCTACCCAGCCCAATGCTGTGGGTTGCTCGTGTACCCCCTCTGTATGCTTGGATAGGAGGAGCAGTGGGGACAGCTGCATATAGAGTAATCGATCTCTCCATTTTCCTCCTGCAGCTATTGAATTCTGGCTTCTCCTCCTCTCCCTCACGCAGGCAATCAGCAGCTGCAGGAGGAAAAATGGAGAGATTGATTCCTCTATATGCAGCCGCCCCGTCCTTCCATCCAGCTTTTTTTTTCAGCCCCCTATGCTCTTTGGCCCCCAGAGCTCTTTGACCCCCCTGCTCTCCACCCCCATACTCCCCTGTCCTTGTGCTCTCTGCCCCCCATGCTCCTCAAACCCCCCCCCTGTGCTCCTTGACCCCCCCCCCGTGCTCTTTCCTAGCCCCCTCCCCTACATCTCTGCTGGGTTCTCCTCTCCCATCGACTGCTATGGGGGATCTGTCAGGATGGAGAGCGGGGAAGGGGCCAATAAGTGTGTCATTTACTGGCCTCTTCCTTTTCTGAATGGACAGTTAGTGATCGGTACCAAGCTGGACTAATGTAACTATGTAAAAATATCCATACCTGGAGTTCTTCTTTAATAAGTTACAGAATTTGATGGTCCCGCATACAGCCCAAAATGTCATCACAGGGTGTGTGCCATAGACCCTTTCCATCTGGTCCTGTTGCTGCCTGCCCAGCCCCCCACCCTCTTCCCCACTGCTACAGCCACTGTTGTGAAAGGCTACTTTCAAACCGCTCTATCAAAAACGCATCAAAAACACAAATGCTCTTTTGCCGTGCTTTCACCTTGGTGCGTTGTATTTTTTATTAATTTTGTGTTGCGTTTTTCCCACATATCTCTGGACTGGACAAAGCACTCCCCACAGGTGTGTTGCATTTTTTAAGGTGTTTTTGCCACATTTGTACATTCATTTCCATTGAGAAGTGGGTTTTTGGTGCGGTTACTTTACCTGAGCAAATATGTACCAGAAATAAAGTAAGTAGGATTTTTAAAAACGCAACCGAAATGCAATGTACCAGTGTGAAGAGTTCCATAGGATTTAAACGGATGCATTTTTCATGCATTTTCTTACGCTTTTTTTTAATTGAACAACTAAACAACAAACTGACCAGTGTGAAAGCAGCCTAAATTGAAGCTTCTCAGATGTGTTCTGAACACTGTTCAGAAACCTAATTGAGAAATGCAATGTAACAACATTATTGTTACATTGTAATTACTCTATTTTAGGGCTTTTTTTTCAGCAGGAACTTGGGGGAACGCAGTTCCGGCCCCTCCAGCACTCAATGATGTATGAAATGACAAGGGGTACTGAGGTGTGCTGCGGGGTCTTTAGTTGCTGGCCGCTGCGGGATCTATTGTCGCTTGATGAGATCTTTTTTTGCAGAAGGGTAATCTATTGCTAAGTGAAGTTTTATTGTTGCTGGTTTGGGATTTATTGTCTGTTGTAGCTGGGGGTGGTTCTTATGTTTCTGGGGTCAATTGTTGCTGGGAGGGATCTACTCTTGAGGGAGGGGTATATTGTTGCTGGCTGCTAGAAGGTCTATTGTTGCTGGCCGCTGCGGGATTTATTGTCGCTGGATAAGATCTATTTTTGCAGAAGGGTAATCTATTGCTGCAGTGAAGTTCTATTGTTGCTGGTGGGGGATTATTGTCTGTTGTAGCTGGGGGTAGTTCTTATGTCTGGGGGGGTCAATTGTTGCTGGGAGGGATCTACTCTTGAGGGAGGGTCTATTGTTGTTAGCTGCTGGAAGGTCTATTGGTGCTGGCTGCAAAGAGATGTATTGTTGCTTCTGCATGTCTATTGTTGCTGGGGGGTATTTTGTTGCTGATGGTCCATTGTTGATGGCGGGTCTATTGTTGCTAAGGGGGCTCTATTGTTCCCGGGGGGCCTATTGTGTTCCTAGGTGCAGGGGATCTTATTTACTGCTTTTCTTGTTATTAACACATTCTATACAAATTACCTAGGACCACAAAATGATACTTGGCTCTGTATTCACTAAAAGGGTCAGTACTGGGAGGTGGGAAGAGGGTGGAACCAAGGAACGATGCTCGAAGGTGGGTGGGGGTGGAACCAAGGAACGGTGTTCGGAGGTGGGTAGGGGGTGGAACCAAGGAACGATGCTTGGAGGTGGGTAGGGGTGGAACGAAGGAACGGTGCTCTGAGGTAGGTAGGAGTGAAACCAAGGGACAGTGCTCGATGGTGGGTAGGGGGTGGAACCAAGGAACAGTGCTCAGAGGTGGGTAGGGGTGGAACCAAGGAACGGTGCTCGGAGGTGGGTAGGGGGTGGAACCAAGCAATGGTGCTTGGAGGTTGGTAGGAGTGGAACCAAAGGGACAGTGCTCGGAGGTGGGTAGGGGGTGGAACCAAGGAATGGTGCTCGGAGGTGGGTAGGGGTGGAACCAGGGAACGGTGCTTGGTGGTGGGTAGCGGTGGAACCAAGGAATGTTGCTTGCAAGTGGGTAGGGGGGAACCAAGGAGTGATGCATGGAGATGGGTAGGGGGCAAAGACAAAGGATGACTGCACCTATTTGCTGAGAAAAAAAAGCCCTGCTGTAGTTCATCAATATGAAAATCAAACATTATTTGCTTATAGAGATTAAAACAAATTCACCCAAACCATCTTGGTTTCCTTTAAAACTTGTAGCTTGGTCTCACCCATTGCTGTGCCTCTGATACAGAAGATCCTAAGCTTCACAGAGACCAATGTATTGCAGTTTGTCTGATGTGGGTTGTTCCTGTTGCCCCCAAACAGAGAATTAGGCGGTTTGCTAAAGGAATTGGCCAAGCTACTGAAGGTAAAGAGGAAGTCGCCAATGAACATCTGAAACTTTTTGCCGAAATCCGAAAACGCTTTAATCTCTGGGAACTAAATCTGAACAGCTCAGTCAACCAATGTGAGTAATACTGAAAATGGCCACATTCATTTAAACAGGTTCTGTACCAGGATGACGGGAAGCAAGATAGGGAGTGAGCCTGAGCTTTGCCTATGCAGAACAAAGCAATAGGTTCACCTAACTGTGGCCCTGCACAGAAGCACATACTCATCTCCCTTTTGCTCCCCAGCTCCACCGTTTGGCCATCAGAAGTAGAGACGTACATGATGAAAACATTTGTTTTGTTTTTGTTAAGTAAATAATTTAATTTCATCATATTCGTTGTGTTAGAATCATTTGTTTTTAAAATGTATTTTGTGTTTTTGGAAGTTATTTCAGAAGATTGTCTACAGTATATTCATTTTAAAGTGTTACCTAAACCCCGGACCCTGCATTCACTATATCTGGTCTCCCACAGTACACACAACATGGAAATGCAATTATTGTAGCTGAGCACTGGTTAAAGCTTGTAGGAGGAGTTTTATTTCTGTTCTAGGAGGATGCAGAACCCCTGATCTCAGTCTGGACAGTGCTGATTGGCCCTGTGGGGATCACGTGCACTCTCCCAAGAAAAAAAAAAAACCCATTGCATATACAGTTATTGAAATATATTGAATACGGCCAAAATTGTAGTATTTCAATATATGTCAATTTATTTGGGAAGAATATTTTTGTAAATATATTTCAAATATATTTTTCTTCCATGTAGGTAGGTCAGTGCTGGTGCTAGAATTGGCTGGTTGTGGAGGGTGGCGGCGACGGGGAGGCTGTTTGGTGGGGGTGGTTGGTGTGTGTGGGCGGCGGTGGTGGATGGTGGTTCCTGGGGGAAGGGGGCGGGTGTTGTGATGTGTGGCGGAGGCTGACGGTGGCTCACCTGGGGAGTTGGGGGTGCTGGTGGGGTGGGGGGGCACCTGATTGTAGTGTTGCTTGGGTAGCACAATAAATAATTACATGTGCATGGCCACTATGTATGGGGTTCTGTTGCTCTTGGAAATATGAGGCCCCTCGCAGCTGCCTCTCTAATTGCAGTAGGGAATTATAGACCTCTATGAAGGGTAGTAGTATGGGGGTCAACTTCATGAACCCTGAATTACTACAGCAATGCAAGCTTTAGACCTGGAGTGGCCAATTTAAGTTTCAGCTAGAATGAGGGTTAGAGCAATGGTGGTCAACTTACTTTATTTAGGTGGCCTCAAGTGTGGCTCATCACATCACCAAAGGGCCACACATAATATTCAGTAAACGTAACGCTAAAGAAAGCCAAAGACTGTGAACATATAACAGGTGATGGTCAAGGCTACAGACATACGACATGAGATGGTCAGAAACTGCAGGCATGTTACAGGAGTTGGAGACACATAACAAGAGACTGCTCACGGCTGTTACAGCCTCTTTTACAAATCCATGATGAATTTTTGTGATCCCCCTTTAAAAATGAGGCACATTTGATCTTTCCATCAGCATGGTCCATGGTCAATGAACA